AGAAATTTATTACTCAATTCAAAACAACAGAAAAAAAAATGATAGGTCACCATACTCGTTTGCGAGAAAAGGACGATTTACCTCTATGGCGAGGTCCAGCAGTAAAGAAAAAGCCGCCATTTTTTTAATGCGCGCGCGCTAATCACGCGTGAAATTATGCGCAGTAGGGATGCGCAATGCAATACTGGGGAATAACCTTGAGATAATCAGTTCGAGGTTGTGGAAGAACTAATTTGTTTTCGGTATTCCTTAAACGATAAGCATTTACGTTGTCACGATATACGAATCTTGATCTCAGATAATCAGGTGTCATACCATTTAATGTTATTCTATGAGAAATCATAATTCTTCAACTTAGATTTAAATTCATCAAAAGAGGGTGACTGACGAATATCCAAGGGTAAACAGTTCCACAGTGCAGCTCCGCTGTAGGACAGACTTCTTTTACTATAATTAGTGCGGGGCTGTCGGATGGCAAGCGAACAGACACTATCTCTTAAGTTATGGGTTAAGGTATCGGAGCGGAAGACAAATTGCGAACTAAGATAGTCCGGAACCATATTATTTACAATCTTATACATCATTATTAATTTATCAACAAGGCGTTGACGGTCCAGTTTAACCCAGTTTACCATTTGCAAACAATTCATCAGTACTGCGATCGTAATTTGAAAAAGTTATGACACGTGCAGTACGATTTTGTAATTTTTGTAACCTTGGCTGGAGGCAAAGGTTTGTTGTACATTGACAAACTACTCAGGCTATTTTCTTTATTTTGAGGGCCAGACTCCTGAAGAACAGGGTGGATTTACAACTAGTAGTAATCAAAGATCATGAGTGCGTTCGACACCATCACTTTCATATATATACCTTAAATGATTTAACTAGCTGACTTGCAACCTCTGTCTATTGCTAAAATCAACATTTTTCATGAACAACCGAGGTTTTACACAGACATATTATATCATAGTGTCAAAGTCCATGCCAGTGAAGAGGTCCCCACACTATGCGATGGCCGATTTGTTGTTCAAAACGTTGCGTGACGGCGCCAGTTCCCGTGGACTCGCAAAAATAGTAGGCCTTCAAAATTTCATGTTTTGACGTAAACTAAGCATGAATTCAAAACGTAAACAAAAGAACAAGCTTTACTCTGGCCTGTAAGCAATTTTAAAGCTCCCATTCGATTTGCGCTCATGAAAATCTTCTCGTTTGCCCAAAGGGAAATTCGGTTTGGTTTGCACAATGTCATAATGTCAGGCTCTGTGTCTATGCCAAGTTTTGTTTGTTATTTTTAATTTACTTTCAATGACCTGAGATTAAAGGGGACCAGAACAACATAATCATTTACATTCATGTGAAATAAATAAACTGTTATTCACTAAGCCGTTTAACTAGCTGAACATTCTTTCTAGGTGTTTGTTTACATAACAACATTCTCTAGTTAAATGTGCGGCTTCTGTTTCCATTCATTTAACCCGCTATAACAAGCTAGACAACTCGGTAAGATGGTTCTATAACCACGAATCATGGCCATTTGCCGAGCTACACAACTCGGTAAGTTAAAGTAATATATTTTGCGCACAGAAATCAAAGCCAGCAAAGGGAAAGGACACATTTCCTCCATCGATTTGTTCCGCACAAAGTAGTGTTGATTTTTGGTCAAAGACAGGACGGTAGACAACAGGCACCCGAACTTCACCTTTGTGTTTGTCCCAAAAGTCGTACACATTTCGTGAAGACATCGATAAATCTCAGCTACAAGGTCATTTAACGCCATAACTCTAACTTGAAACTTCAAATGCGCAACTTGCCGGTAACAGCAGATAAACGATAAACACATGGAGACGCGACGAGCATGGACATGATGTCATTCGCCCCTAAAGAATTTTTTTGGGGGGGCCAAATTGGTGTTCCCCGATAGATAGATTAATACACAAGTCTCGAATTTTTATGCATTACGCGATTAGAACTGCGTTTTGTCGAACGCAGTAAGTTCCTCGGCGTATCCCTCTTCAGTGTTTGTGAAGGATTGGCATTTCGGGTCAGGTTTCACAGCGGGTTTGGCAGACAAGGGTACCGGAACTTCTGAAGGTTTTTGTTACAGATCCATTACTTGGTCTCTTAGGCCTGGTTCATACGTCATATTTCTGCCGTGTCGAATTCAATTCAACGAATTAAATTCTACAGAAATTAGACGTCTGAATCGGCTGCCGCATTTCTGCCGCACGTTCGACTGGTCTTGTAGACGTCTTTTAATAAAGTTTTCATTCATTCATTCAACAGTGTTTTGTTTTAATCAGTAAGAGTTTAATGATCGATCTTTTAATAGGAGTACTCACTCAAGAAACAGATGGAAATGTGACGATATTTGGAAATCAATTAGTTGCGGCAACGTACGTGAAGTTCATTGAGTCTGCCGGAGGAAGAATGGTTCCTATTTTGTATCCTTTACCCGTCGTTTATTGCTTTATGTAACAATCAAAATAAACAAGCAGGAGAAATTACTTTTTGCATAGGTTAAATATTGCATAAGCGTAGCGTAGATTTACTAGTACAACGTTGTATCGCTAAACAACCGCACTATTAAAATCAAAATGCTCACTGTCGATTGTTGTTAACAAATGGTTCATGCTTGCGCTTGTTTACTTTGACAGTAACAACAATCAGCAATTTTCAATTTAAGTAACACCCGTAAGTAAATAAGCAAATTATTTCGAGAGGGTGGCATATGACGGTGGATACTGATAAATGGGTGGCCCTCAATCCTAGAAATTATAGGATAAACTAGAAATTTCAATGTGAAACTGAGTGCTGGCGTTAGGACAGCAGGCATTGGTATAGAGGAGAGGTACGTAGAAAATAGGCTCTTTGCACGGTCCGGTCACATGGTATTAAATCACACATGCTGGGACGCAAGTTGCACCGCGGGACGTCCAAAACAAAAGCAGGTCAAGGTGGACAGGTACGAGTTTCTTTGTTTTAGAAGTCCCATTGAGCAACTTGCGTCCGAGCATGTGTGATTTTGTACCATGTGACGGGATCGTGCAAAGGGCCTATTGGTTAGTTCAATAGACCCGGGGCACTCCCTCATTAAAAAGATAGGTGTGGTTGGGGGAGCAAATGATGGCATTTGTGCCCTTTCGTTTTGGTATGTCTTCGAGTAACACCGACCCTGTGTGATACCATTAGCAAGGCGTGTTTTTAGAATGTATTTCTATTTATAATTGCATACTTATTTGAAGAGAAAGTACTCATAAGGCTGCGCGAAGTTCGGATATCGCGTATCATGATTTGCATTTATCGATCCCTGATGTAGCTTGATGTATATGGCGTTTTCCAAAATAAATAGAGACCTTAAAAAACCACGACGGCAACGACACCACCGACACCACCACCAAACAAAAGATTCAATGAGTAGAACAATAGCTGTGAACGTGCGTTATAAATCTTTGCACATTTCTTGTTGTCCTCTGCACAAACAGCAACGTGAAATGACAAAGTTCTGCGCATTTTGGAGAACGCGAACGGCGGCGGCTAATTTTTCGCATTTTCATTTGGAATTTAACGCTGGCGTTACATATTTAACTTGAGCAAGTTCTGAGACCAATAGGAGCACTGAACAGATCTAGACAGTTGCGAGAGTGGTTACTAGGCGATGTCCTCGGGGTCACCATCGTCATTATTTAAGCTCTCTGTACGTCAGGACAACCGTCGACGAACATTTCGACTCAACGGTCGAAAATTTTGCCACAATATGCGAACACTATTTCGAATCTGAGGTCGAATATTGTGCATCACCGAGCGACAGACCTTTTGACTCAGTAGTTCAATATTTTGCCTCACGTTTTGCTGCAACGGGCAAGAGACTTTTTGTTTTGCGTGGGTGAAGCTCACAATAAGTTGGCACCTGAGAGGTTTGTCTGTCCACGAGAGTCACGTGATCGACAGGAATTCTACTAAGATGACTGGGCACTAGTTTAGAGCCTACACATGAGAAGATTGGGTGCTAGTTGGCTTGTTCGAGTGAATTTTCTTCCTCCTTCGTGTTGGCTTTGGTCTTATGTACCATTTATCGGTTTCGAGAGACAGATATGATATTGGCCGGCTGGGAGGTCCGTATAGTGAAAATACTTAAAATTGTACAGAGAGAGACACACACAGGATTGCGCGCCATTACAGCGCCCTGCTACAAACAGCCAAACAAACTCTTACAACTTCAAAAAACTCGATTGAATTTACTTACAGTGACTTTCCTTGCCATTTAAAGGTGAATAGAGATAAACATGCGTTGATTAATCGTCGATGGAAGTGTAAAAAGGGCGAAAGAATGACCATTATAGGTCAACTCCACGGATTCCGCCCACTGTGGCGGTCCGGATGAGAAAATTCTGCCCGCTCCAGGAACCAAGATAGCAGGATTTGTTGAATTCCGCCCGCTCACGAGCTGAGAAAAACATAATTATTTTTATTTTCCCAACTTTCAGTCGCCAAAGTAGGTTTTGTTTCTTTTATAGCTTGTTTTGAGATGCGGTACTTTGTCTGTTTGCATGTATCGGAAATCTGTCGTCGTATCCTTCGTAATTTCGTATTTAGGCTTATGCTTAATTGCACGTCTGTTTACATTTATTACAGCTTCCTAATTTCGTGTCGGCTTTGAAATGTTGATTGCAGTTTTATTGATTATTGATAGCTTTCTTTCATTATTCCATCAGGTGTCCAAAGCGGGAGTTATTTTGCTCACGCAAGCCAACATATCAAGATTCAGCTTATGTTTAGTGCAGGCTGCACAGAGGCTGGTACACTTTCAATGAAGCAACTTACAAATTTTCTGAGAAAAATTTAATCTTAACTTCTCCTAAATTATCTTAATTCCACAAAAAGGTATAAAACCTACCGCAACGTCCGTTTTGGCGCCAGAAAAACAGTTTTTATAGGATATCATAACGTAGTGTGTTATAATCGGATTTCCAGTTCCAGTCAGTTCCAAGAAGCTGGCTTAAGGCTGTACAAGCTCATTCTAGCTCTCAACTAAATGTGGGGCTCGAGTTTTAAGAGGCTGAAGGTCTCGCGCTCGCACTCAAAGCGCTTTAAAGTCTCGGTCTCGCAATCTAAAAAGTCAAAATGTCTCGGGCTCGCAAAGAAAAACGCTTGTCTCGCCGTCTCGCAAAGTCTCGCATTTACCATTCGCTAAAAAACGAGACTGCGAGACCCGTGAAATTCGACTAAAATTTTACGAGACCCAAAGTTTTTGAAGGACCATTCGCCACCCTTAAAGCTCAGATTTAGCGACCTAAATGTTCGGCGAGGGTTGCTCCCTACAGCGAAAGCTAGGAGTCATTGTTATGAAGGTAGATCGTGGACAAAATGTTCCACTCGTCGTTTCGTTATGGCGTTTCATCGTTTCCGCACACCGATACTTGTAGTCGAGTCGTTGTTTTCCGAGTTCGACTCGTCGTTTTAAGAAGTCGACTTAACGGTTCGTGAGTTCGTCTCGTCATCTTGTCAGTTCGATTCGTCGACTGGCCTCTTCGACTCGTCGTTTTACGAGTCCGACTCATCACTGACCACCGATCGCTTCGTCGTCGTTTGTCGTTTCGTTATGGCATTTCATCGTTTCGACTCGTTTACTCAGCGAGGCTATAATTCGACGTACATTACATAAATTGTTACTTGATTCCATGCACTTATACATGAAGTATTCATCTATAATTTGCTCTCTACCAACTGAAAATGGATTCTTTGAAGAGCTATCTACGCTACAGCATAGAATTCGTCTTCAAATCGCGTGAACGATCGTTTTCAGGAAAGCGGAAATGGGATTCGATATCTAGTAACACACCTTGTTCTTGGTGGTGATGACAACTCATTACAAAGACGGTTGTCAAGTTTACAGGGTGCAGGGGTCGTCCCAGCATAGATATTCCTATGCAACGTTTGGAACAATACCTTGAGAATAATCGTACTGCAAAACAAAGCTGTTTAATCTGTATTTTAAATATATTTATTGAAAAAGACTTTTTTATTTCATGTGGAATAGTGCTCCATATATTAATTACTTTATTTCTTGTCGAGTAAACACATTTTGTCCTACCGTTAGCACTTTTATTTTAAGGGGTTTAATTTTTGCGGGTTTTGTGTATGGTACTTGATCCGCAAAAATACGTTCCAGCAGAAAAAAAACCGCGAAATCAAACATAGGCGCTCAAGGCGTGCAAGAGTTATTTTTATGTGAATCAAAAGCCCCTGGAGGTACCAGCACTAACTGGACTCTTAACATCGAAGGTGTAGCTTACAAAACATTCTTTAGTTCGTATTGTGTAATCGTCGATTGTCCGGGTGAGGGTAGTTCTGAAAAGAACTGTTGTTGGTGACTGACGTTTCGACAACCTGAGCGGAAGTCATCTTCAGAGTCAAGTGAATAGTGT